AAAGACACTGTCCACCTAGCCAACTGCAAATAGTCTATTTTATAAGTGTTGGCAGCATTGTTCTCCAAACTTTGTATATAAACGATCTGTCAGCCCTCCTCCCTCCCGTCCTCTGTTTCCATGGGGTTTGGGAATGTGATGTTTGGAAAGAGTTACACTCAATGTTGCAGTTGTGTTTGTGTGGTTATTTTCAGATGAGGGACGTTCAGTTCAACCATCTCACCAGGTTCATCGGGGCCTGCATTGACCCTCCCAACATCTGCATTGTAACAGAGTACTGTCCCAGAGGCAGCCTGCAGGTTATGTTTCCAGCTACTTTTACATTTCTACATTACTACTCTTGCTTGAAGCTGCTAATCAGTTGAAAATTACTGTATGCAGCAGTGGAAGAAGTACTCAGACTGTTTACTTAAGTGAAAGTAGCAATACCACAGTGTGAATACTCAGTCACAGGTAAAAGTCTTGCATTCAAAATGTTACTTAACTAAAGGTACAAAAGTTTTAGCAGAAAATATACTTTAAGTACCACAAGTAAAAGTACTCATATGGCAAAATGTGAACAAATCCAATGCTCATACACTTATAACTGTCAGAGAACTAGGAGAGAGCAGTTAAATGTTTGCTTCTCTTGTAAATGAGGGAGAAAATTAAAGGAATAGTTCAACATTTTGGAAAAGATGCTTCTTTGCATGGAAGAGAAGCTATCCTGTTTGTGCAGTAACAGCTAACCTGCCCGCCAGCCCTTTTTATACTCACTAATTAACACGTTACATCTTGTTTTCTTATCACTTAGAAACTGATAATTGATTAATAGTTCAAGAAGTCATTTATAAAGGAACATTTGCAAATATTCTCTGGTTCCAGCTTCTCAAATGTGAGGATTTGCTGATTGTCTCAGTTTTATCTCACTGTGCATTAAATATTGGTGGCAAAACAGGCAGTTTGTAGACAAACCTGACCTGCTTTTTTCACCACTTTCTGACTGAAAACAGAATTTCTTTTAAAACAAACTCAAGGATCAGTATATTACTGATTTGATTTTAGATTTTGGCAAAGACAACTTAATCACTAGTGTAAATGTATCAAACGTGCTAACTGATGGACTTTTGTTTTGTTACACTACCAGAGCAGACAGTTTGAGCATGGACAGCCTATTCCTGGCAGTATTTGTCTTGAGCTCTTGCCCTCTGAGCTCTACAGGGCTGACTGAAATAACTTTATTTCATCCACAGTGAGCTTACAGTATGGTATGTCTCACCTTTGAAGCTTAACATATTTTTATATTATATATGGTGATGTCTTAAGAAATACACAATTCTTTAAGCAAACTTGTTGTTGGCTGGGACTCTATGTTCCCATCATACAAGCAGCTTCTAAAAATGGAAGAGCTGGGAAGTGATGGAAAACTCAGCCATGGACTTCATCACTCACACTTGTAGAGAAAGGCTACTGTGTAAAAGACAAGTAGTTGCAACTGATGTGATGTGGCTGGATGTCAAAGCTGGACCTGTATTCTGGACCCTGGCTGGCTGCAGGGCCTGGAGGGCTACACATTAACATCCTGCACTGCTAAATTTGTGCCCTTCAGAATGAAAAATACTGTATATACAGTGTTTATTGTTGCAGAAGTTCTCTGTTTAGTCATGAATAAACTGTGGCTGCTGAGAAGCCCCTGGGGGTTCATAAGATAAAGCAGAAAGTCGAATGGTTTTCTCTTCTGTTAAAGTTTTTGGCTCCATTTTGGATTTGTTTTTGCCTGTCCAGGACATTTTGGAGAATGAGAGCATCAACCTGGACTGGATGTTCCGCTACTCGCTAATCAACGACATTGTGAAGGTACGTGGCGGTCAGACTGGCCTCAATTTATCTGACGTTTTTAAATGATGACTAAAAGGTTACTTTTCTGTATTACAGTAAATAAGGTGCTCTGTGTGCCTTAGAGACACAAAAAAGTCTAGGTTTCCATGGTTTCACATGGACATGCAAAGGATGAGAGAAACATGCACAGAAATGTATTTTTGGCACAGTGCAGTGTATGAAACTACAGTCAGGGTTACCATTATAAAGTGTAAAATGAGACAAACATATTTATAAACCTGGCAAACTTTTCCTTAAGCTTAATCAAAACTAATTATGGATATGCTCAATAAGATTATTTTTAATCCATCCCAACAAAGAGGTTTTTTGTCATGAAGTTCAATTTCTTGGATGGACTCACTATTGAACTCTATGCATGAAGGAGCGTTGTGTCTGAACTGCTCCACACAGATAGTGGAGTTTTGAAGAGAAGAGGTGCTAGTGAAGCTCTGAGGGATGTTTGACTCACTGTTTCCATAGAATATTGAACAGGAGTATAGTCAGTATCCTTCCCAAAGGAATTAACAGTAATTTCACCCATAGATTCACCCGTGACTGTGCCATTTCTGAAACACAGCCTCTTTTTAAAGCCTTCAGCATACATCCACTTGTCAAAGCATATTATTTCCATGTGTGTTTTCATGTGTGATTTGCTGTAGAGGAAAACAGAGAGTTCTCCTTAATGCTTGACTTAACGCTGCTCTCCACCAGGGAATGAACTATCTCCACAACAGCTACATCGGCTGCCATGGAAATCTGAAGTCATCTAATTGTGTGGTGGACAGTCGATTTGTTTTGAAAATCACAGATTATGGCTTGGCCAGCTTCCGCTCGTCCGGCGAAAATGATGACTCGCACGCACTCTATGCAAGTAAGTCTGAGTCTTTTCATTCACAAAAACATCAGCTACTCTTTAGTTATTATTTTTTGAGTGTTTCTGACTGTGAATGGTTTTTCAGAGAAGCTCTGGACAGCTCCTGAGCTGCTCATATATGACCACCATCCTCCTCAAGGGACTCCAAAGGGCGATGTGTACAGTTTTGGCATCATACTGCAGGAGATAGCCCTGAGGAATGGCCCTTTCTATGTGGAAGGCATGGACCTCAGCCCTAAAGGTAAACATCACTGTCTCTTACAGGCCTTAGGGAGGTCGCCTGACCCCTGTGACATCAATGAGAACGTGAAAGAAAACCAAACCAAAAAGATAAAGTAGTACAAACACATTCTTGTGTCACTAGTTAACAAACAATACCCTATTTCTGAAGCAGTATACTGTAAATCTTTTAATAAGAAACAAGTCTTCTGAAGACTTGGTTTCAAGGACAAGAACAGAAAAGACAGAACTTTGCACAACAGGAACTTCATTCGTTGACTTTGCCCTGACATTGCAAAGCAGACCTCGTGTAACATCAGGGTACTGTATCATACCCTAAACAAAGAACACACATTTGCCAGATGTCAAAGGCAGGTGGAGTCACAAAACCCAATACATCTCATATCTGAGACACAAAAATATGAACATTCATAAGAACCAAACCAAGTAAAGGACTGAAAAGGGCAATGAATAAGTGTAACATTACTAAAACATGCGTGGAGGCAGTTTAAATGGTTACTGTTTGTTAGTTTAAGATTCTGGAGTCATTTCACAGTGTTTATTCTTGTATGATTTTGAAAACTAAATGTTGTATTTCCTTATTCTGCATGTAACCACAGAGGTGCCAATACAAAAATACAGAGAGACAACCACAAGTCCACAAGTCAGCAATGTGCAACAGCATCAGGTTTCCTTTAAGGCAGATTTCAAAAGGTCTCAGTAATGCTTCAAAAGAATAATTATATTTTTTCATGGTATAAAAATCAAAAAACATATTATAGGAAGAAAACAAAGCTGATACCATACAGCAGGTAACTCTCACCCAGACCCATCTCTGGGTACAGATGACACCACAGGGCTGGGTTTTTATAAAAGGGAGCTTAGTTGCCTGTGCAAACAACATACTGACAATTACAAATATACAACTGTCTTCTTCACTATAGTCTCACTAGAATCTATTAGAAAAGAGCACAATATTCACAGAAACAAAAATAACCAACAATAAACAGAAGGGCTATGGACACTGAGATGGACACAACATAAAATGTACATAAACTAGCTTTAACCATTCAGCAGTCAGCAGCTGAATAGCCATGGCAGGGTACATATATACTACCAGTCAAAGGTTTGGACATACGTTTGCTTTGAATTGAATGGGAAAGCGTGTCTGGACTTTTTACAGTTAGTGCATGTACATATCTATATATGCAAAATAAACATCTTCGTGAGTGCGGCCCATCAACAATTGCATTATCAGATTGGAAGTCTGTACAATTTTTAACACTGCTCATGCACACAAAACTATGTTCCTAAATTGTAACTTGCTACTCATCATTACTATGAAATAATGACTCTACTCTCTTATCTGTATGGCACTCTGTGAGCATTGCCCTGTTCCACAAATTGTCTTAGGCCCAGTTTCTTGGCTTTATCATTTTCAATGGATAATATAGCAAAAACAGTCTAGTCAGGGCTCGATGGTAACGAAGGCGAGATTGCTGTGCTAGCTTATTAGCTAACATCAGCCAGTTTCTTCAGTTTTAAACTTTATGTTCCAAATTTTGCTTTTCTTTTTTCTCTCAGCACCACACTTTGCACGCTTTCCTTGCAGTGCAAATGCAACCACTACCTATGTGGAGATATAATCACAATAACCTTAATGGAGATGTGGAATTAGCCTTTTAAGTGATTTTTGTTCCATTTTTGTATGTTGTGGTTTTACATTATTTTAACATTCACGTGCTGTCACTCGGGGCCACTAGATGGAGTGGGCCAGGGTGCGGCTGCACCACTTGCATTTACTGATGAACTTTGTAAGTCTGAGTCCCATCTCCCACATTAAAGCTGGATGAGCTTTTACAGCCACTGACACTAACATAAATTGTGTGCTGCTTGCCTACTTGACTCAGAACCAGAAATTTATGTTCAACCAAGGTTAACATGAGGCTTGAGCAGTCTGAGTTAAACAAATCAAATGGATATCTTCTATTGTAATATGTAGTACAAAATTCCCTCCTTTGATCACTATTTCTAAACTACAGCTTAGAAAGAAAAATACTGTTCAGTGACACACACACACACACAAATGAAATTGGTAAAAAACTACTTGATGACCTTCAGAATAAATTTGCACTTGGAAACACATTACTGTTATCTTCCTAGGTTCAAATAAATCAGAATTAAATCACTGATGACACTTTGGCTCTTCAGCCTCATACACATCTTGGTCTGCAGTTTGACCAGTCTCTTCACCAACATCTAGTTTTTCCTCCGTTGCTTCTGCTCAGTGACAGCAGGTAAAAATTTAACTTCTAATGCAATTCAAGATCAGGACTTCAGCCTCTACACACTCGAAGTGGATGTGTAAAACTCTCCTAAGGCACTTCCTCCGTGTGATGACTTTCATTAGCCTTCTTATTCTAAGTCACACTCGATGCTGATTGTACAAGTGCTTGATGCTTACCCATTAACAAGCTGGGAGCAGTGAAAGCCGCCACCTGTTCTCCAGTCTGCCTGAATGTGATAAAACCAGTGCTGTAATTGTAATTTTGTATTTTAACATAACAGAGGAATCTTCAAATTACTTTTATAGGTCTTTCATGATCACACTAATAACAGTAATGGGAGGATGTAGAGGAAGAATAGGGTGAAGGATGTCTCATGCAAATGGTAAATTGGTATGATTGATATGATTAATGGATCACAAAGTGAGTGACAACAAAGATTTGATGTGCACCGCTGAATATACTGTATATGCATTAATAACACATGAAAGGAAATACAGAAGTATTACAAGAATATAAATATCCCTGAATATAGTAATGTACAGTTTGTTTAAAAGCTCACTGTTAACAGTCGCTGAGTGCATCATCTCCTTCACTTGGGAAAAAACTGAGGGAAATTCAGAAGATCCCTAAAGAGAAACTAGCTACACTAGTATACCATTTAAATACAAGATAACTGAATGTTTTCCAGCTGCAAAAGTGTATATTTATTTATTTTATGAAAAATTGTGTTGGTGGTGGGAATACAACATGGCCACATATTATACATATCCATCCATGTGTTTTATGTTTATTTTTAAACCTAATGGAAATATCAGAAATAAGCAGGATCCCAAATATCACATCAGTGGTTTTATACTTGGCTTTAGGTGAAAAGGTGGACATGTGAAAAAAGTACTTCATGCACAGCATTGGCACATCAAGTGATGGTACCTGCTTCTGTTTCTTCTTCTGTAGTCAGAGGATACATGTCAAGTCATTGTTGGTGTAAAAAAAAAATCTGTCACTGAAAAAAATGGAATATTGTCATTGAAAACGACACCAAAATTAAAAAATATAAATCAAAAAAGAGATAATTAGATTTATTTTTCAGAGCAGCTTATTTCACTAGAACTGCTGTTCAGGTCTCAAAATTTAAAACTGACATCCCATCTGCTCCATTGCCGGCTTTAAGAAAGGTCATGTAGCAGCATTTATGTTTTCCTGTGTCAAGAAATGACATGGGCGAAAAGGAAACTACTGGACGATGGCTAGCCCCATTTAAGACAGAGAAAGACAGTTCTGGATACGTTTCACAGAAACAGTCGGGACATAACTGCATACAACACTGTAACAGAGATGGGCAAATAAACTGGATGCATATACGCAAAACCAGCCACTTAGTAACTGCCCTTAAAATCTTTTTTTTTTTTTAAAAGTAGACCACGATGTTTGAAAAACACCTCCAGTAAAGCACAAATCTCACTTTTATGTGGCTCATCCTATTTTGGCATTTTCTTCTCCTTGTTCTGGTGCTCCAAGCAGCAATTTGCTCACTACTACCCCCCCTCGTACCCCCATCAGGGGGGGACCTGCTTCAACTGGTCCAGTGACACATAACTCGGCCACTAGTTGGCACAGCCACCAAACAGAGGAAGTTAAACCTGCCGAGGGGGGCCTACAAACACTGATGTTCCACTGTGTGTGTGACTTGTTTTGTTTACAAGATGAAGCTAATGCAATAATATATTATTTCGTTTCATCTCATGAAAGCTACTGACTGCTGCATCATTTTTTATATACATTATGCAAAAAATGGGCATTTTTTTCTTATTTTTTAAATACCAGATAAATATTGTACCTTGAGTTTTTGGTATCATTACATCCCTAGTATTAATGCTTTTTTTCTCAGTGCCAATACTTTTTTTCACTACAAGTATTTTACTGCCAAGGTTTTGTTTTTCAGTTCAGGTTTGTTTTCAGTGCCAAATTTTTCTTTTCAATGCCAAAATTTAAAGTTGTCATTTGGGCTTCATAGAACAGGATCTCTCAGCTAGCCTGGCTCTCTCCAGAGGTAAGAGCCACCTACAGAGACTTAGTGGTGTTAAGGAGGCTAAAAAAATATGAAAATGGTACTGCATCAATCTTCTCATCTAACTTTCACCAAGAAAAATAAACACATTTCCAAAGATGTTGAACTGTTCCTTTAAATAAGCATTTAATGGTAACTTGAAACATTTTAATCACCAGATCTGACATTTCAACCAAAACTGAACTTTTTGAATTTCTTTGCATTGTTGCTAGAAACAACCCTCTTGTCTTCTCCACCACAGAGATCGTGCAGAAGGTGAGGAACGGTCAAAAGCCATACTTTCGGCCAACAACAGACAATAGATGCCACTCAGAGGAGCTGACTATCCTGATGGAGGGCTGCTGGGCCGAAGACCCTGCAGACAGGCCTGACTTTGGCCACATCAAGATCTACATGGCCAAACTCAACAAGTGAGACCTCCACTTCAGTTTTTATTATCCAGGCTGACAGTGCTTTCCTTTAACCATAGAAAAAAACACCCCACCTCTCAAAACCTGCACCAAAACTATCAGCATGGCTCAGCACTGCTAGAAGTACAGTAAGGGTTTTTTTTTGTATTTTGGTTGAATTGGTCCTTTAAAAACTGAGTTACATTACACAATAATGTTATGAGGTGGAAGCACTCTTGATTAATTTAATGTTTTCTATACTTCATCTTCTTCTTGCAAAGTGAAGATAACTGTCAAATTGAAATTGTCAGTGTTTTTCTCAAAGTATCGGTATCGTCCATGTCAAGCTCAACAAACTGAACACAGTGTTGAGAACTTGATGTACCTCTGACTGCCATGAAAGTTCATAAGTTTAAATGATTCAACAAGACAAACAGGAAATAAGAGGCATGTTCTGGAAATCTCCAAGACAATTTTAGAAAAAAGGCTGTTTGTTATTCCTGACAGGCAGCTTTCACAGGAAGTGCTCTGTGCTGGCTTTCCATCACTGAATGTGTGCGTGTGTTTGTGTAAGAAAGGGGAGTGAGTCCATGTTTCTTACATTGTTTTTAATGATCCCATGAATCATTCAAATGCATATTTTCGGTCTTATATCGACGCAGGAACGGAGGCTCACATGTTTTCCCTCGAGTAGGGCAGCTCTGTCAAAAGAGTTGCTGAGTGACAAACCCCTGCTTGTATAAAGTGCACACACAAAACACAAAGTAGAAATACTTTGTTACTGTGCTTAAGTAGATTTCAGGTATTTGTGCTCAAGTATTTCAGAGCCTGTACTTGTTTACGTTTACTCAAGTAAAGCGTTTGAATCAGTTCTTCTACTTTTACCAGAGTATTTTTTACACAGGTATCTGTACTTCTACTTGAGTAATAAATGTGTGTACTTTTGTCATCTCTGGTTCTGGGTTGAATCAACACCTCAGGTAGGATGTAGGTAATGTGTAGCCTCATACCCTGTGCGAAAGCTTGATGTGCAACTCTCCGGAAATGTAACTACTCATTGTGGTGATGTAGACAACAACAGCTTTGATTGGTTGCATCACATTCATGTCTCTCAGCAGCCAGACAACCACTGAAAATCCCCCCTTGCTATGCCTCAGTTGGTTCAATGGCCGTACAGACCATCTCCTCCCATGTCTTCTCTTTTATCTGCATTGCAGTAATTTCAGTAAAAGTAACTGCTGTTCGACATCTATTAGTTTTAAATCCAACATGATCTGCTCAGTTTCAGTTCAGACACAGAACACAGTGGGACCGATACCCCACCACCAACTAGCACTCTGGTGGTGTAATTGCAGGGTGACACACACACCAGTGCACAAGTATAAATGCTCACAACGTCGTAGGCCACTTGCGTAGCCAACAGTATAGTCTCTCTGTAGACTCAATGCAGAACGATAAATCAAGCTTAAGCCCTGCTCCCTTCAAAAAGTGTAAAGAGCACAGAGGGGAAAAAAGAGAAATATGGATATCTCTAATATGAAATAACCAAAACACCATGTGTTCTGACTTTAGCAGAAAATTGAATGTTCACGTAGGATCCATTCACATCACAGTAAGATTCTGACTGAGAAAAATACTTTCTGAAGCCTTTAAAATGAAAGTCAAGATTCCAGTGGTTTTCAAAAGCACCAAATGTAGTGCCAAACTGTGGAGGAAATGTGTATGGAACTGAGCATGAAGACATCTGGAATATATTAATTTGATGTCATAATACAGCCATAATACACATGGCACCAACATGGTTTGAAAACTTCACTCATTTATAGCATCTTATAGCTTCAGCGCTATGTTGAAACAAGCAGATGCAGGTTTTAGTTACAGCTTACAGTAATGGCTTTACATGGTCTCATGGCTGAATAGGACACTGTAGCTTTGCACTCAATAGACAGTAGTCTTGTGCATTCTTTCATTCACTGTAATAGATAGGCAAGTAGTCATGTTGAGCAAGAGGTTTGGAGTAGAGATATGTAGGTCTGCAGAATGTTTTTGAAAAGATAAAAATGATTCAGCCTTCTTTCACCATGCCTGGTTTCCACTGGTACTGGAAACTTGCAGAAAAAAACACAAGCTGACCCTCAGGAAACATTACTCGGTTATGTTTAGCCAGAGCATGTATATTATTTTTAGATGCATGCGTAACAAGATGAACAGTGTCATCAGCAGGTCGCTCTGATTGTTCATCCAAGAGAACTGACTTAAGTTGTTGTGGCATTCGTAAAACTACAGCTGCATTTCTTAGTGCAACTCTGTATTGTACAAGGCAGTGGTCCTGAAGCTGTTAGAAGCCAGTGACTGCTTAGCAGATGATATGTACAGTACATATCAGTGGTAACAGTTGAAATGCAAACAATGCATGATTTATACTGGTTATCTAAGCAGAACATCCAAAAGCTACAGCCGTGTTAAAATATGTAGAATCAGCATGATTGCAAAACTATAAATGTACTGTGTATGTGTTGATTTGGTGGAGTAGAATTCTAAATACAGATGGAGTGAAAGTGCATCTATAAACAGTTCTGTGCAGTTGCCATGTTGTTCCTGTCAGCTTGACCTCTCATTTGTTACTTCTGTAGTCAGTACAGGATGAACCTGGTGATATATAGCTTTCCATCTGGAGTGGTTTGGAGTAGAGAGCTCTGTGACTGATATCCTGAGAAGCACTCAAGGATGTTCTTGACAGCCACATGCTAAGTCCCTCCTCACGTGTATAAAGCACTCCGTTTTAGTGGCCTGTGTGTTAACACACTGTTTGCCTGTTATTTTCATTAGGTAAATGTATGTTGTTGACATGCCGTGATGGATAGGCTGTTATTTTTGGTGTGTGTTTGAGCTTGTGTTTGAGCTTGGGTTTGATTGGCGCGGTAACAAGAGGGGTGTTCAGTAGTGTTAGTCGAACCGACACAGGGATCTGATTCGTGGCTCACCATGAGTAGCTCACTATGACCTACTCATACTACAAGAAGTGTTTCTTGTGTTCAGCACTGAAATGTTCTCTCTTTTTCTTTTATTCGTAATTGTATTTTTATGACAGCTGGCAAAAATACTGTCAAGCACATTACTCCATATATTTGAGGAAAATGTTACTTCCTAAAACATGTTTGGTCTCTCTGTGAACAAGAAATCACTGAGAGCGTGTACTTCAGCAAAGGCCAGATAGTCATCTACATATTTTTTTTAAACCTGTACAAAAATATTTTTCATTTTGAATCAGCATCTAGGTTGAGATCAAAATACACAGTGACAGACAAACTCGCATGACTCCAGTGATTTTCTGAAACTACATAAATCTGGGAAAACTGCAGCTTGGGCAGTTTCCTGGACATAATTTGCTAAGTTGGTAATAATTACAGGTAGAATAGGATCGGTGACAATTGTTTGAGTTCAGCTAGTTGGGGTTGTTGAGGTTAAAGCAGTTGTTCAGCAGATTCAGATAAATTCCCTGCTTTATGAAAACTCTATTCTTCATATTTGTTGAATTGTATGAAAACTGTCCATATGTTTCCTACAAGTAGCCTTCCTATGAAACTGAAGTTACATATCAGTTATTAGTATGGACATTATGACTGTTGGCAGAAAGAAAACACAGGTTGCTGCTGTCTACCTGCACCTACCTAGTGCACTGGACCCAAGTCTCGCAATGT